ACGCATCTTCTTGTTTGGGCTGAATCGGTTGTCCATGTCACGTTTCAATCCGTATCAGAATTGATTCTAGACGCATTCGATCCATTCACGAAAGGCGACATGCGTGCAGACTGACCGACTCACGCTCTGACAAATCTCAACCTGAAAACCAAAAAGCATTCACCGTTTCTGCAGGTCGTCCGCTTTCAGTAGAGCCGTTACTGCCTGATATTGACGCGCTAGTCGTGGCGTGGCTCCCGGGTTCTGAAGGAGCAGGCGTGACGGATCTACTGTTTGGAGACGTTGAGTTTACGGGGAGATTACCAAGGAACTGGTTCCGAAGAGTCGAACAGTTGCCGATGAACGTAGGTGACAAGGAATACGACCCGCTCTTCCCGTTCGGTTTTGGGCTAGACTCGAGAGGTCAAACGCTGGATTAAATTGGTGCATATAAAGGTACAGAGCTGACACGCACGTGCATTGGGTCTGAAACAAGACCCATTTGTTTCCGTTTATTTCGGCCCTGGCATGAGCTCCCGTCACGCTGGGGCCCCGCGGCTCGATTGGATGCCATGATGTAGAGCAGGTTGAGTAGATGTAAGGGCTGGCGCGATGCACAGTTGGTGTGAGTCCACATGGAAACTTCTGGCAAGAGCCTCGGAGCTCGGGGCTCCGACAGGCTGCCGCCATGATCATTGAGTCTTGCAATATCCTAGCTTCCAACTTTCACACTGACGGCACCCGCAGGCGGCCGGCGGCCATGGCGGCCCGCAGTCACGTATACAATACGCCAGCTAGGCCCTGGCGCTGCATGCACCGCCGTCAGTGCATGGCTATACCTAGCTATATGTGCACTGGCATGCACATGGCACTAGCTGAATAATTAGGTACATGTCAGTACACTTCAATTAAATCGACATGGGATCATTCCGACACATGTACTAAAAGCATTGGTAGTGCATTCCACAGTTCACTAAGCCACTCGCCGATAGCTAGCTTATTACCTACTACCTACTAAGGGCCGGTACACTAGTACTTGATGTATGATCGGACTCATGATCGTCACTACGCGAAGATGACCACTCTGCATTGATTTGGATGCGGCCGCGAATTTGAACCTGGCCGGAATCGCATATTATGCCGGCAGGGCAGCTCGAATATGACTGCCTGAGACAAGTCTGAGTAAGCTTTGAATGAAATTCTTACTCCCTCCCCGGCATGCAGGCTCCGACGATTCTATGATTCTCAAGGTCTTAGTGATGAGCTAGGACTGTCAATTTTCTATAGATTGGAGCTTTGGTACAGGATTGGTTGCATCGCATGTCTTGCCAAGTTGGCACTGTTGTGATTTAGGGTTGGTGCTACTTACGTACAACCCTTAAACTTGCTGTCTAAGACTAAAAGCGAGGACTGACACGCGCGCGCTAACCTTTCCAAGTCTGGTGCATCTGAACTGTACCCTGTCCTAAGTTCGATGCGGCTCTTCCGTATTTTACCTTGGAGGTCCAGTAGCAAACCTTGTAGTCAACGATAAGGGCAGCTTAAGACCTGATTTTTACACCTTTGACTGGCGTGCCTATCCGCATCTGTGGAGTGAACCTCACCGCTCAGGTGCCCATATCTATCCCTGTTCACTTAATCGCCGTAACAGGTTTCGACCGTTTCCATTCTCGTTATGGAACGTCTCAAATTTCTCTAGGCTCTCTTCAAAGTGCGGAGGCTGAAACCATTGCATCCACATTGTGCGATTAGATAACGCGTGCTGTTCTTCCATATTCCCCTGTGGCAAGACGCAGAGTATCAGAGGTTCAGCAATCTCTATCCCTGTCGAGAGAGATAGGTAGAGATGTATTCACAGGTCGAAAATGAGGTCCTTGCCTCTTCTTTTGCGAGGGAGTACATCCACGTTGCAGCACTCCTACGGGGTTCTCACCATGCCGGTGACTGGGCAGACTCTCATGTCTCGCGAGCGTGGCGACAAGAAACGCAATTGGACTCCTACTCAGTGGGTCACCAAGGCCACGTAGCCACACAGGCCCGTATGAGCAAGACTGCACGTTCAATGCATCAGACAAACGGAGAGGCTTTACAAGAAAAAGCATTGGGATGCTTACCGTTGTGGCGTCGACATAGATCATGCGCCTGCCAGTGTGGTACGCCCACACGTTAATTAGCCGCTCCAGGATGTAGCAGTAACAGTGACTCGACTGCAAAGAAATACATTTTAACTAGATTTGAAGTTCGTGTCTTCCTGCAAACCTGGTACTCGCTAAACCCAATTCTGGACAAGCACTTCGGAGGGTGGAGGGAAAAAGTTTTCAATCGTTCAAAGTTCGCGCAGGGTTGAGCTTCACAATTACAACGGCTTCGAAGAGGGGGCAACGAATCCTTGCAGCTAACATTTGCGTGTACAAAACCGCTGTACGACGGACGATAAAGAGGTCCCCGTTAGGTGGGCGACAGCACACTCACCTCGTAGGCAGCATCTGCTCCCCCGCCGCCGTGCGCCATGATGCAGAACCCGCCGTCCTTGTGCGGGTAGTAATACGAGTCGTCCAAAGCCACGATCGCCGCTCTGTATGCGTGGTTGAAAGAAGAGGTTAGCTAACTTGGGAAAAGCCAGGCCGCCACGCGCAAAAAAAATTCGTTCCACGCTTTGCACTTTAGCCAGGTGTTTTTGGGCCAATGTGGGCCCCTCGAGCCGCGGAGCAAAGTAGCATGTTGAGCACAGCTGTGTGATTAAGGCTCACAGGTCCGGAACCCTGGAGTTTCAGAGCTGATGGTTTCCTCGAAGCTTTAGTGCGATGCGCTTCCTCCGACAAACAACATGAATATGGCAAATCTCTGAAGGGGTTCCGGTAGCGGACAGCAGCAAGAAAATTCGAAGCAGTTTCAAAATCGGAGATCCGTATCAAGCTCAGAGGCATAGCGCCATCAGGCTGAACGCGACGAAACCGAAATACGTGTGTAATCGCAAATAGAGGGGCCAACGGCAAACGCAACACGCGGCCTCAAACGGTCGCCTTTCACAAACGACAGTGTCGTCATACTTGGCTGATCCTCATCAGAGCAGCGAAGGCAACAGAAGAAACATCATTGCGAACCCGTCAAAAAGATCGCTGCAGTGCCTCTTCCTTACGAAATATCCTTATCCTTATCCTTATCCTTATCCTCTTCCTTACGAAAATCCAACTTCATCTCTGTCAGCTGAATCTTCAAGCCTCGACCAACCCAAGCATAATCACAAAACATACTGACGTCAGAATAGGAGTGAACTCACTTTGCAAAACGAGCGTACTCGACTAGGCTCTCCGTGGGCAGAACGAAGTAGCTCATGAAAGCGTACGTCCCGCCGTCGACCGGCATCGGGGGTGCCCCGGAGTACGCGGCTGGGTCGGCAGCGTGGCGACCCAAGACTTCTTTCGTGACGTCAGCAAAGACTCTGCTGCAGCAAACAAGTGGGTAAACGGGTTGACTCAGATCCCCGTGGAGCTTATGTCCTGTCTTAGGAGTTGAGACTGGGGGCGCAGACCCATTGAAAAGGAGATGTCCGCACAACTGGAAGAAGCTGCTCTGATCGAAGGACGGTACGAGGAGGGGACTATGTGAACTTGTTGTGAAACGATGACGAAGAGACCGTCCGGGAGATGCCAACAGAAAAACCATGCGAGCTTCGAAGTGGACGTCTCTCCGATCGTCATGATGAGCAGACGAACTTCGATTGTCGGTCTCAACGGTCAAGAAGACTGCTTGGTCCCCTTCAAAGAAGGAAGAGTGTTCTTCCGGATTCTGATCAACAAGCAAGCTGCTGAGGAGTCAGGTTTGGACGGGGTTGGTTCGACAGAAACGAAACATGCTTTCCGCTCAGCTCTGTCAAGCAACTTTTTTGAAAGTAACTGCCTTTCTTCCAAGAAGCCCAGACTATAGCCGTAAAATTATCTCAGAACAACAAATGCGCGACGCCCATTTCAATCTGTCACGTCTAGGTACCTCGTAACTCAAGAACAACAACAACGATTCACTTGCCTGCAGTGCTCGTGTATGAAGTTGCAATGCCCGTAAAAGTCACTGATGTGCTCCCCCGGAAACCCGCCATCCGACCAGAAGTAGAGCGCGTCCCCGTGCGCCCGACTGCTAATCGCGCTCAAGAGAGACGCTTCTGCCCGTGGTTGGAGAGCAAACTGCAAGGCGAGACCATGAGGTCAGGATGGCGTCATGCTGACGTGGAGACTGTCCGGACACATTGGAAGGGAAGTTGCTTCAAGGCCTGGCTTATCAACTTCAACGGAGAGGAACGTACCCAGGAATCGTGGAGGAAAGACAGAAAATAGCACGTCCTTTGTTTAAGGACTTTCTTCGATAAAAAAATAAGACTCGAGTGTCTGTCTAAAGATTCTCGATGGTTCGAGTCAGCTTTGGCAAGAAAAGAGGCACCTTTGCGGGAGCACTGAGTCTGCATCTTATTTCGCAGGGAGTTGTTAGCAGCAAGCAATAAATTGACACTAGAAACTGTATCGTACTTTCGAGATACTAGCTACGAAGTACAAGTAAGTGCAAGTCGAAGTGGCGTGGACGTGAAGAGGCATAGGAAGCACGCACAAAACTACTCGGGTTCTGCTGCAGAGAGCTAACTACTCTTGATGGACAACGCGAAGGCAGCAAGGCTTCCTTCTCACGTCTTGTCAGAACATGCATCGCTCAGTCCCCTCAACCAATTCGAATCAGCACCTCAGTCAAGTAGACGTTCCTCTCACCCCCTTCTGAGCTGCCCTCCAGCTTTGAAAGCCAACCCAGGGGCGAGGATGCAACGCTCTTGCATGAGCGGCGACCGCTAAGATGCCAGTGTATTCACATATGAGATTCTGGTAGTAGGAGTCGGTGTTGATCTTGAGAAGAGGAACCGCGTCCAAGTCTCGTGAGCTGGGGCGAAGGCATCCTTCCGCCTGCAGACGCGGGCGTGTTAGGTGCAGCAGAGGTGCGTTAATCGGTGCAAATCATCACAAGCAAAAATACGCAAAATTGTACTTCCACGTTCTCGGGAGGAAAAATAGTGTCCAAGATCATGAGCTTCGAAACCCCACTAAGCACTGTATTAACTTGTCACTTCATTCCGCAACATCGCCCCATGCTTTGTTTGCCCACCTCAACCTCTTCTGAGTATTAAGGAGGTATATCTTATGACTCATATGTCCCTGCAATGAACGCATGATGGTGTCTTCTGTGGCCCTCATCTGTCAACATTGACGTTCGAAATGGTGGCCCAAAATCCATGGTTATAAAGGGCGTGGTTGAAGGCAAGCAATTTACAAGCCACACGTTGGCCAGTCCTGTCAGCGGAGTCGAAGCTTTTTGGAAAAGCTGTGAAAAGAGTAGATGACGTTGAAAGACTGAACTCAAGTGACAACAATGCTACATGATGTGAAAGTCAACGAAGGGAAGAGGCAACAAAGGAAAATGCTCATTCCTACAAGCACTATTGAGAACAAAGGTCGCTCCCTAATGGAAGACACGAGCTTTGACGATCAGTCAAAAAGTATGTCTCCTTCATTGTAGGAAGAAATACATAGGGAAGCAAGATTGAACTGACCTGATTGAGACCCCGATACAGAAACGTGCTGTTGTAAAGATGGGAATGAGCTCCCACACTGTGGTACTGCTGATAGATTAGCAATGGCTCCTTGCTCACAGATAAAGACACCTGAAGTGAACAAAAAATGGGTGAGTAGAAGGCAAATAAATAGCAAAATCAACGCCAAGATACGCAATTGCTAGAAGATGTAATCACCAAGAGATCACGGCTCTCATGTTGATCCTAAAAAAGAAGCATGGCATTGACAAGTGAATGATCAAAAGATAGTCAAAATGAAGTGAGATTGGTCACAGCAGGTGGGAACCACAAGTGGTCAGAGCTGGTCAGCAGTGCTTATTTCACAAAACAGTACCCAACACACAGTGGTGCAGCCATTTCCTACTTGACCGTGGATTGCATCAGTGCAGAAGAACCACCTGCTTTTTTCACATTCCAATGAGTCAAACCAGTGGCCTGACTCAGCTCCAGCGAGTGTGTGAGGTGATCCCAGCAAGCGTGAGATGTGATGGTTGTGCTGATGGAGGTGGTGTAGCTGTGATTGTGACGTACTTGCACGTGCAGCATAACTGCGTGCAATCAGCAGGGAAGATATAGGCAGTTGAACGAAGTAGTGAAAGAAAGCCTGCCTCCAATCAGCACTTTGCAAGCTGCTGTCCTGACTATCCCAAGGTTTCAGATGGTTTTTGTCTCGTGGAATCTGCAGGAGTTTGACAAAAGCCTTATTCGACTTGAGGGGCAAGCGAGCAAATATGTTGAAAGGGAAGACAACAGGAATCCAGCGGCTCGCATGTATTAGGGAGCCATCCACCAGACCCTATGCATGCATATGCAATGAAAGACTAGTGACACTAGTAGCTGTAACTCCACAATTGCCTCCATATTGGCAACTCCTATATCACACTCACACTTTCTTGGGAAGTCCAGCTGAAGTGCAATCCAACTACAGTGCACAGGGTTAGCAAGAGGATGAAGATGCGCTGTCGATGGGAAACCGTTCGCTTGTGCCTGGAAGGACCACCGCTGTTCAACTTCTTCACGACCAGGGGAACAAAGCTTGAGCAGAAGTAATGCATGACTCCGCCATGCTGCTCCACCATTCTGCCCCCCCAGAAGTGCTCAAGCTTTGGGAAGACTGCAGAGCCCGCCATAGCCGATGATAGCGCTGCTCAGCTGCTCTGCTATCACCCCCCAATCCGCGCACACGGCTGGGAAGTGCCCTAGAAAGTGCTCGCTGATCATCAATTTTCAAACAGAGTTTCTGGGTCTGTTGACCAGTACACAGTAGAGGAAAGCCCAGCTGGCACCTTCTCAAGTGGCCATTCCTTCGAAACTCTTCGGAGCCGTCGGCGTCGGCTTCGAGGCACTCCCTGCCATCTTATGCGGAACTGATTGCTTTGTCCGCGGGCCAGTAACATAATTACTACCGAAGCGGTGAACCGAGCTGTTCCCTCCCTCAGGAACAGGCTGTTCCCTCGGGGAAGGAAGCGCGGTGTACTCTTCGGGT